TGAGGGGAAGTACACAAGTAGCATTTTTAGAGCTACTATATTTGATATGCAAAATGGAGCTGGAGACGCGAGTTAGATAGATGGAACAGAAGCAGTTAAAAGTTAGTTAATTAGTTGAAATGGAAGTCCGTCGAGTCAGTTAGAGTAGGCTGCACAATTCAATATAATCTAATTCTATAAATGATCTCACTGTACACATTACAAAGATATTAGCAAAGCTATTACAATTCTTTCTATTTCTACTCTCTTCATCTTCTTCTTTTCGATCTCCATTGCTTATAATCTCGAGCTTCTCTACAAGCTCTTGACTTAGCTGCTCGATCCTTGAACTCATCACTGAGTTCCTGCAATTGAACTATCAGTGGTATCAGAGCATCCGCATCCTTGGAACTATGACGAAAGGTGTTCGATCAAACGACAATCTCGCGAATGAAGTGGGAGAGCTACGTGAGATGATGCTGAAATTAATGACTGATACTAGGCCTTTGAATGGAGAAGTCTCAAGCTTGAAACAATTAGATCAAGCTGTCATGGAGTTAAAAGAACAATTGGGGAAAAATTCGAAAAGGCAAAAATTAGGTGGATCATAAAGATGAAGTGTAACCAACAGAAGAAAGATCACACTGGGAAAAGAGTCCCAACAATTATAACAACAAAAATTCCAACTTCTCATGGTGGTCAAGAATGGAGTTTCTTAGATTTGCAGGTGATGACTTACGATGTTGGCTATTCAAAATTGAGCAGTTTTTTTCCATGGAGAAAGTTCCTGCAAATGAAAGGATGAAGGTCGCTGCTATGTTGTTAGAAGGCAGAGGTGTATCCAGGATTTTAAGAACATAGGTGCACAATCTTTAAGATAGATGTTTGGTTCCATTATATAAAATTTTATAGTGACAACAAGTTAAAGAGCAAACTACACTAATATTATATTCGCAAAAAACATCATTCATTATACAATTGTCTTTGAAGAGTTTTAATACTTTGAAAACAGTCAATAATAGCATATGTACTTAACAACAACAACAACATACCCAGTATTATCCCACACCGTGGGGTTTGGGGAAGGTAGTGTGTATGCAGACCTTGCCCCTACCTTGTGAGGATAGAGAGGTTATTTCTAATAGACCCTCGGCTTAGGAAAGCATAAGAACCACATTAATAAAGATGTAGACAAGAAGGGACAATACCAAAAAGCCATATAAAAGCAGAATAAAAATAACAAAATAGTAAGGTGATCAACAATGAAAGATAACAATAGTTAGTCATAAAAACTTGCTACCAACAGAAAGCGAGACTGCGTCAATACTACTATTATGAACACTCTAGACTACCTATTCTACTACCCTAATTCTTGACCTCCATACCTTCCTATCAAGGGTCATGTCCTTGGTCAGCTGAAGCTACGCCATGTCTTGCCTAATCACCTCTCCCCACCTCTTCTCTGACCTACCTTTACCTCTCTGTAGGCCCTCCAATGTCAACCTCTCACACCTCACCGGGACATTTGTACTCCTCCCCCTCACATGACCAAACCACCTAAGCCGCGCTTCTCGCATCTTGTCCTCAATAGGGGCCACACCCACCTTGTCGCGAATAACCTTATTTCTAATCCTATCTAACCTGATGTGCCCGCACATTCATTTCAACATCCTCATCTCTGCTACCTTCATCTTCTATACATGAGCGATCTTGACTGGCCAACACTCAGCCCTATACAACATCGTTGGTCTGACCACCACTCTATAGAACTTACCTTTAAGTTTCGGTGGCACCTTTTTGTCACACAAAACACCAAAAGCGAGTCTCTATTTCACCCATCCCTCCCCAATATGATGTGTGACATCTTCATCAATCTCCCCATCCCCCTGAATAATAAACCTAAGCTACTTAAAACCCCCTCTCATAGGGATGACCTACGAGTCCAGCCTCACCTCTCTTCCCCTCCTTGAGTCTCGCCACTGAACTTACACTCAAAGTATTCTGTCTTGGTCCTACTTAACTTGAAACCTTTAGATTCCAGGTCTGCCTCCATACCTCTAATTGTGCATTCATACTATCTCGCGTCTCGTCAATCAATACAATATCATCTGAAAATAGCATGCAATACGGTGCCTCCCCTTGGGTGTGGCGCGTCAGTACGTCCATCACTAGAGAAAACAAAAAAGGGCTGAGTGCCCGACCCCTGATGCAACCCCATCATAACCGGAAAATGGTCTGAGTCCCCACTCATAGTCCTTACTCTGGTCGTTACTCCATCATACATGTCCTTAATCAATCTAACATAGGCAACATGTACACCTCTAGCCTCCAAACATCTCCACAAAACCTCACTCGAAACTTTATTATACGCCTTTTCTAAGTCAATGAACACCATATGCAAGTCCTTCTTTCTCTCTCTATACTGCTCCATCAATCTCCTAACAAGGTGGATGGCTTCTGTAGTCGAACACCCCGGCATGAACCCAAATTGGTTCTCGAAAATAAACACACTCCTCCTTACCCTTAATAGCATATGTACTTACAGTTTTAAATATCTAATACTCTATATACAACAAACTAAACAATCATTCAAAAAGGTTTTTAGAAATGGCACTTAATATTGAGCGGTAGGGGGGGAGGGGGTGTTGCTGCTTTAAACCCATAGAGAGCCGAAGACTTGAGAGAGGCGAGTCACGATTACTTTATTTTTAGGGATTTCAAAGTATTTGTATCCAAAAGAATGATTAAGAGAAGAAAAATAAAAAAGATATAGGGAGAAGGGATTTTTTTAAAAGTAAAAACAAAACGTGTTTGTTTGTTAATCGAAAAGAAGTAAAGGGCGTGGGGATCTGTTGTTAATTAAAAAAGTGCATTGGTAATTGGAAATTTATTTATTAATTATAAAAGGAATTAATTAAAAAAGAATTGTATGGGGATCGAACACCTAACCTGAGGGACAAAAAAGAAACAAAAAGGGCACTTAATCGCGGTACACCAAACCAATATCTTGAGCATGGGTGACCACACTATATTTATGGACTAATTGGAAAAATTAATAATATTTATACATGGCCCAGAGAGGAGATCATGGATGCATGTACCTCACCCTCAACCACATAAATTTGCCCCTGTGAGAAGGGAAAGCCATTTAGTGGCATCTATCATTCATGAGATACATGCACCATCTACAACCTGTAAGTTGGACTGAGTATGTCATTGCACTGGTAGAGAGATTTGGGGCTGACTTCGATGATCCTATGGAAGAATCAAAAAGATCAAGCAAACGGGTGGTCTGAAGGACTGCCAAGCTATATTTGAGAGGAACTTGAACAGGGTAAATCTGTCACAAAAAAATGCTATTAGTTGTTTCATTGCAGGGTTGAAGCATGAACTGAACATGGTAGTGAATTTAACCAATCATTTTACATTATCCCAAGTCTATATGACAACTAGAATGCAAGTGTTCCATATTTCTGCTATTAGACAAACTTCCGTAACTACTTCTCAACAAGTGCCTTCCAAGAGGTACATGGAGCAAAGATGGTGGCAAACCTCTTCTACCAACTCCCAATTATGGAAATTATGCAGCTCCTAAAGGAATTAATAGAAGGACACTCAATTTGGATGAAATGAATGAAAAGGGCCAACGGTTTATGTTATTTCCTAATGAGAAGTATGTGACGGGACCCAAGTGTAGAAATTTGAAGCAGTTATATTTTCTTGAATTGGAGGAAATGGTAGAACAACAATGTGTGGAAGAGGAGGAACAGATTGAACTAGAAGAGCAAGGACTAGAATTAACTCAACCAATGGAATAGATGAAAATCTCCATTTATGCTCTAAATGGCTCATTGGGGTATAGAACATTAAAGGTGATTGGGTACCATTCAAAGAAACCACTGCACATATTAGTAGATACAATGAGTTCTCATAATTTTATAGATCCAGAATTGGTGAAAAAATTGAATTGTCCAGTTATGTCGACTACGCCTCAGCTAGTAGCAACAACTAATGGAAATATGATGAGGGTTGACAAGGTGTGCAGGATTTCCTGGCTTTTGCAAGGAGCTGAGTTGTCTGCAGATTTCCTGTTATTACCTCTAAGGTCTAGTGGTGTAGTTCTGGGAGTCCAATGGCTATTGACACTAGGGGACATCAAAATAACCTTTAGGACACTCACTATGGAGTTTTATTATCAAGGAAGAAAGCATGTCTTGAGGAGAGATTGGACACAAATCCTAACTTTGGAGCAGGGGTATTGGACAGAATGTTAGGTGAGCAATTACAATTTACAACTTCGCATGATTCAAGTTGTACCTGCAATGTGTAATGAACTTCAATGGTATTCTTAAGAATCTAAAGAAGAAGTTAACACACATCCTAGGTTGGTGAAATTGTTGGAAGAATTTAAAGACTTGTTTGTTGAACCCACACATCTACCACAATCTAGGGGATATTTGATCATAAAATTATCTTGCAAGCTGGAACTGAACCTATAAATAAAAGACTTTATAGGTATGCATCTGTCAAAAAGGATACTATTAAGTCGCTAGTCAAACAAATGCTATACCAGAGGATTATCCAACAAGCAAAAGCCCTTTTGTTGCTCCTGTAGTGCTAGTTGGGAAAAAAGACGGGTCATGGAGCCTATGTGTTGACTATAGAGATTGAATAAGAACACTATGAAAAATAAGTTTCCAATTCAAATTGTAGAGGACTTATTGGATGAGTTGGGAGGGGCTAAGGTCTTTTCAAAAATAGACCTAAGGTATGGTTACATCAACTGAGAATGGCAGTAGAAGTTGTGCCAAAAACTACTTTTAGAACTCATGCATGTCACTATAAATACCCGTTGATACCTTTTGGGTTATCAAATTCCCCAGCCACATTCCAAGGATTAATGAATTCAGTGTTTCAAACCTTTTTTTAGGAAGTATGTCTTAGTGTTCTTTGATGACATACTAGTTTACAGTAGGGATACATAGGTACATTTGCTGCACCTTAAATTGGTCTTTGTAGAAATGAGGAAACACCAGCTGTTTGCAAAGCAAAGTAAATATTTCTTTGGGGTCCCAAGGATAGAGTATTTGGGTCACTTTATTACTAAAGAAGGTGTGTTAACAGACTCTCAAAAGGTGAAAACTATGAAGAATTGGCTTTTGTTAAACACAATTAAACAACTGAGAGGAGTCCCTGGTCTTGCTGGATACTATAAAAGATTCATCAGAGGCATTGAAGTTATCAGCATGCCTTTAACTGACCTCCTCAAAAAGGATAGCTTCAAATGGTCTCATGCTGCATCTAAAGCCTTTGAACAATTGAAGATTACGCTGACTCGGGCCCCAGTATTGGAACTACTTGATCCTAATAAGACCTTCATTGTGGAAACTGATACAAGTGGGCAGGGGATAGCTGATGTCTTAATGTAGCAAGGTCATCCCATTGCTTTTAATAGTAGAGAATTATCTCCCAGACATGCTGCACTTTTTAGTATATGATATGAAACTCTTGGCTATTGTTCATGCAGTGACTAAATGGTCTCAATACTTACTTGGTCAAAAATTCATCATTAGGACATATCAGAGAGCTTTAAAGTTTTTAATGGAACAGAAGCTGCATACAAACTCTCAACTAATGTGGCTGACTAAACTAATACCTTTTGACTATGTGATTAAATACAAAAAGGAGCTGAAAATAAAGTAACCGATGCACTTTCAAAAGTATATGAGGATGAGCTATTTTCTTTAGTCATTTTTACTACCAGCTCTGAGCTAATGCAAGCTATATTTTTACAATTGAGATACATACCTAGAATTAAAAGTTCTCATTAAGTAGCTTCAGGCAAATCCAGCTACTCACTTTCGATTCACTTGGTACCATAATTAATTGAGGAGAAAGGAAAAACTTGTAGTGGGTAAGGGCCAACAACTGAGGAAGGATATTATTGCTTTATGGCATTCCACACCTCAAGGTGGCCATTCTGGTATTAAAGCAACACATAAAAGGGTAATAACACTATTTATTGGAAGGATATAAGGAAAGATGTGAAGGTTTTTGTACAAGGGTGTGACATCTGCCAGAGAAATAAAGCTGACTTACTTATCCGGGACTCTTACAACCTCTACCCATATCTTAGGTGGTGTGGTCTCAACCTAGTATAGATTTCATAGATGGTCTTCCCAAATTCCATGGTCATGAAGTAATTTTGGTTGTTGTGGATAAGCTCAACAAGTATGGCCACTTTATCTCTCTAAAATATCTCTATACTGCTCAGTTTGTAGCTAAGGTGTTTATGGACGCGGTTTCCAGACTATATGGACCTCCAGACTCAATAGTTGGTGATAGAGATGCAGTTTTTCTGAGTTCTTTTGGAAGGAGTTGTTTTCTATCCAAGGAGTACAATTGAGCACCTCTTCAGCTTATCATCCACAAAGTAATGTCCACAGTGAAGTTCTGAATAGGTGTTTGGAAACATATTTAAGGTATTTTTTCTTTGATGATGCTACAAATTGGTATTCTTATTTTCCTATGGAAGAATATTTGTACAATATCTCATATCATTCTGCAATCAAAACTACTCCTTATGAAGCTCTTTATGGAAGACCACCTTCCTTGCATCTTCCCTACTTGCCAAGAGAATCAAATTCTTTAGAGGTTGACAATACACTGCTCAATAGAGAATTAAAGTTGCAGTTGTTACAACACCAACTTCTCAGAGCTCAATTAAGAATGAAGCAACAAATTGATTCTCACAGGATTGACAGAAGTTTTAAAGTAGGAGATTGGGTCTATTTTAAAGTCCAACCTTATAAGCAAGTGAGCATTTCTACACTTCACTTCCACAAGTTAGCTTTCAAGTATTATGGACCTTTTCAGATAGCTAGAAAAGTGGGACCTGTTGCTTACACATTTTTATTTTCACCTTCAGTAAAGATACAGTGCATGTTTCATTATTGAAGAAATGCTATCAACTACCTACTCAGATTTCCTACCCTCTTGTGCTAATTTGGCCAGGCCTCATCATCCCAATCCTGAGTCTGTTTTACAAAGAAGAATAGTGAAGAAGGGCAACAAAGCTGTCACTCAAGTCCTCATCAAATGGGAAGGGTTGCCAGCAGACTCTGCTACTTGAGAGTTCTTCAATGCTTTGAAGACCAGGTTTCCATCTTTTGATCCTTGTGATCAAGGATCTTCTGCAGAAGGGAGTATTGATATGCATAATGTAGTTGGAGGCATGAGTTAGTTAGATAGTGAAGTCATGTCAGCAGAAACAACTAAAAGTTAGTTAGTTAGTTAGTTGAAATGGAAGTCAATCGAGTCTGTTAGAGTAGGCTGCACAATTCAGTATGATCCAATTCTATAAATGATTTCATTGTATACATTACAAAGATATTAGATAAGCTATTACAATTCTCTCTATTTATACTCTCTTCGTCTTCTTCTTTTTTATCTCCATTGCTGATAATTTCGAGCTTCTCTGCAAGCTCCTGACTTAGCTGCTCGATCCTCTAACTCTTCACTAAGTTCCTGCAATTGAACTATCACTATTTAGGGATTAACCAATACTTATTTTGTCCGGAAAATTTGAACTGAAAATCTTAACTTCAGGACTCTGTCTCCTGACAATTGAACTAGAAAATTAAAATTCAAGATACACTGCCTAATTTCTAAATAGCAGCCCTCTAAAATAGCTATCTCGTGTCATTTCTACCTAATTGTGTAGTTAATTTAATTTTTAACCTTGCATCCGATTAATTCATTGATTTCTAAAAATTTTCTTTCAGAAGTAAATTGTCATTGTTTAATATGCTTTTTCATAATTTAATCAAGAAAATGTGACTACTGTTTTCATTAACTTAATATCTATTAACTCCTTTTTGTTATAATTTGTTTTTCATTTTTTTTTAAAAAAATTCAGGATAAAAGAAGGGAAATTAGGGAGGAAAACCCTTACCAACAAGGTGAAAATTTAGGTAATTAACCAACTAAGACAACTCAAATTTGATTCTCTTTTAATTTAATTATTACTTGTTAATTTAGAATATTATGAATTGAGACCCTCCAAAAGGTGTTACTTAGTATAAAGGGCAGTCAGACGTACAAAACATTCCGCATTAACATTGGATCTGGGGAAGGGTGATGTAGACAATCTACCCTAATTAGTGACTGTTTCTGTGGCTTCAACCCGCAACATAAAGGTATTACTTAGTGAGGGCATTTGCATCTATACCCGCTTTTTGGGTCACGTTTTAACTTGTGTCCGCTTTGCCAAAAAAATTGCAAGAGTACCCACTTTTTCGTGTAACTTCAGCATACGGGGCTGAAGTAGCAAAGACAATCACACAAAACTTCAGAATTCTAGTAGACGGGCCTGAAGTAGCAAGTGTGCTGAAGTTTTTGTTTGTAATTGCTGAAATTAAGCATAGTAGCTGTTTGTTCTCTATTTGCTGAAATTTTTGTTTGTAATTGTACTAAATAAGCTAAAGTTTTTTTGTCCTAAATTTATTAGTTTTGTCATTAAGCTTTTTCAAGAACTTCAGCAGAAGATGCTGAAGTTATTTAGTTCATTTATAAAAACTTCAGCACTAAATAAGCTGAAGTTTTTTTGTCATGGATAACCTTTTTCAAAAACTTCAGCAGAAGATGCTGAAGTTATTTAGTTCATTTGTAAAAATTTCAGCACTAAAATCTTGTTACAACCCATGTTTTTGTACCTGAAAGTACATCGTGAGTCAATTGATTTAAGCTCAAAAAGGATGAAATCCTTCTATAAGGACAAGAAAGGTTTGCCGAAGTGTTAAGCAAGTTAAGATGAATATAAGACTTGTTAATCATGATTTAAATGAGTTTAAAGCCATGATATGGCTATATATGATGTTTGTATATGAAGTGTAAAGTTTGAGAAAAATCGGATTTAAGTTGCGAAAAAACCGACTAAGGATTTGCCTTGTAATGGAGCTTTTTGAGTAATAAATTTCGTGTACTACATGAGATCTTTTTTGGACATATTATATACTAAATTGAAAGTCTTGGAATGTAGTTTCCAACGCTCTTAACCGTTCGTTCATACGACATTTGGATAAAAAGATATAAGTGTTTGAAAAAGGGCCAATGAGATGGTGCCAAGTAGCACCTTTTTGACTTTTCAACAAAATGGGATATTTACATCCCTTATCTCGTCTCTTTCCCCATTTTTCCATAGAGCACGACCAAATAATATCCCTAACCTTCCCCTCAAGCTCTCCACAAGTGTTTCCAATAATATTATAATCCGGGGCACGAAATCAAGTAGCGATAACATTAAAACGATCCCTACGACATAAGTATCACTATATTGCCTCTCTTTTTCTTTGTAGTTTGAGTTTTGGAAGATATTTAATATTTAAGAAAATGCCTCATTTCTGTATTTAAGCTTTCAAATATGAAGGAAGTTTGATAAATACATTTCGTAATAGCTAGAACTCACGGGACGGTGATCGGAAGCTGTGAGTTCGAATTATTCAACTTGTTGTGGGCTGTTTTGGGGCTATTTCATGTAGCTTTTGGGCTGTATATTTTTCTGCTATTTAATGGAGTTTTTGGAGGATACATGGTGTGGAGAAACACCACGTAATAGCAAAATGATGGATTAATCATTCTTTGTAATATTTTCGGGGTGTTAGACACTACTATAGTCGTTGTTTTTGGTATGAATTGATTGGGGTGTGTTGGACTGTTGTAATCTAAATATAACATGGATTTATACTTCCATCCACTGTAGGAGGTAATTATATTGTGTTCCTACTGGCGCTTAAGGTTATCTTGGCATTGGTTAAGTTAAATGGATGAACTAGACATGAACTAGTGTATAAAGTTGCTAATTAAGAATAATTGGAGTTGTGGATCATTTTCTTTGTTATGGATATATAGTATAAGGCTGGAATTATTGATGAATGACTTCATTATCATGTTAATGTTACTATTAAATTAAAGTAAAAAGTCTATAAGGGATGATATGGGGTATACGAATTCCAATTGGAGCTTGTCGCTCGTCGTAAAATAGTTGTGACTTGTTGTTGTTTTATGGTGTCTTGTTATTGATAATTATGTATTGCTGGATTTCTCTGGTAATTATTGTTGGTATATGGTATTGTAGTAGGCTCTTATTACAGGGGAGATGCTGCCCAAATTTATATAAACAAGCTACAAGTTTATGTTGCAGACTTAGCCTTTATTCAATATTGATTTTCAATCTCCTAATGCAATGGTAGATTGAATTGAGTTGTTTGAAGAGTTGCTTGGGAGGTATTAAGGACTCAACATGGTTAAGGTATGTTATGACACTTCCTTCTTTCTTTTGGCATGATCTAAAGTGAAATGAATACTCTATTTCATAACGGATCTACTCCTAGAAACTAAGGTTGCCCATGTTATTCTTTCCATATAAAGT